CCCCAAAACCCCAAAACCCCATGAGGACTAATAAGCATGTTTTATGAATTTATGCAATAATTAATCATAAAAGATAATCTTTATTGTTAGAGTGAGTTTCATTACAATAACTTTAATAAATTCGTAATTAAATCAGATCAATATGCAGAGTATATTAATTCGAGATATCTCCTAACCTAACTATTTAATAATAATTTAATAGTAATTATGAAGAAATTAGGAATCCTGTTACTAGTAGCTATTTTCGCAATATTTATTGGTCTTCCTGACAACCAAGTCTCTCCCCAACAAGAAACTTTGTATACTGAAGGAATAGTGGAGAGAATGTTGGAAACTTCACTGAGGATGCTCGAAAATGAATAAACTAAAAAACCTGAGGGAAGTAGTAAATTCTTGGACAGCTAAAGTGAGTCGGGAATTCAATCTCCACATTTAAATGGAGGAAAAATACTATCCGATCAAGATATGCTCAGATAACTTTAAGACGCTTCAACAGCCACAGTAGATACAATGAGCTATAGAGGAACAACAAAGAGTACTACATCAACAACCACTACCAAAAAAACAACAACTACAACCACAACAAAGAAGACGAAAAAAACGACAACCTCAACAACAACTCAAGCGCCTCCAACAACCACTAAAAAGACTACAACAACAACTACAACCACGACAACCTAATGCCCTACCACTTCAACAAAGACTACCACAACTACCTGCCCTACACATACGACAATTGCACCTACTACAACAAGGTAAGGAACACAATCTACTACCTAAGCACCTAGCTCAACCTAAACCACCTAAGCACCAAGTACTACGATAACAACGAATCCAACATCCATTTCTACCAGTCCTGCTCCTACAACCACAGTGCCTACAACAGTTATTAGCACAACAATTGCTTCTACAACAGTGCCTCCAGAAACAACAACAGTGGAGTCTACTACTTTCACAACTACATCTACACCAGAGTCCACAACAATCATCTCAATAACAACAACACCAGAGCCTACAACTACCATCACAACTACAACTATGACAACTGAAGTGCCCACTACGTTGATTACCATAATTACCACAACTCCAATTCCTTCATCAACAGCAACTACCACAACAACAACTATAGCACCAACCACATCATCTGCTGGAGATATCTGAACATACAGTCTGAATTGAAATCTTTGACTAAATATGTGGGAACAGCTGGAATAGTTTGGAAGCACATTGATTGAAAATAGTGACGTAAGATTGCGATTTGATTTTTATCCTCTCAATTCAAAAATTATGTCTTCAACAATGGCTTCTTACTTTCTAGACTATCTCGCTACTTCACTTTATAGGAATGAGCTGAAAAGCTTAACTTTAATACCATTAATTAGCATTAAATATCTAAATCAAAACCTCTCTTTTAATTTTATTCTCTGAATATCTTAAATTTTCAAATCCTAGATTGATGGGGTTTTGGGGTTTTGGGGTTTTGGGGTTTTGGGGTTTTGGGG